GCCTGCTCTGCCAGCCCAGAGTGTCCCCCTCCCTTCTCCATCTCTCCCAGTTCTGTGGGACGGAGCCCTACCACGCAGAACTCTGCTTCCTGAATTGGTTCCGTGCCGAGAAGCTGTCTCCTTATGAACATTACGATGTCACCTGGTTCCTATCCTGGAGCCCCTGCTCCACCTGTGCAGAGGAGATAGCCATTTTCCTGAGCAATCACAAGAACGTCAGGCTGAGCATCTTTGTCTCCCGAATCTACTACTTCTGGAAACCAGCGTTCCGGCAGGGACTTCAGGAGCTGGACCACTTAGGGGTCCAGCTGGACGCCATGTCCTTTGACGGTGAGGGCAGAGGGATGGGGCAGGGCAGTGGGAGGGGTTAGGACCAGGTAGTGGGGACCTGGAGCGCCCCAGAGAGAGTGCGTGGGAGGGGAACTTGGGAAACGGAGGCAGGGGTGACGGCCCCTGGCAGGGAGGGGACCTGGCCCTGTGGGGCTCCTGCGCAGATCCTTACCACGTTCACCCCTTTATCTCAGAATTTAAATACTGTTGGGAAAACTTCGTGGACAACCAGGGAATGCCCTTCAGATGTTGGAAGAAAGTGCATCGAAATTATAAGTTTGTGTTAAGAAAGCTTAACGAAATCCTCAGGTGAGAGGTTCCTCAGGCCCCCTCGGGTCCCCTCACCCCTGCTCCTCACCCTCCCCTGCCCTCCCCTTCTCGACCCCCCTCGCCTTCCTGCATGTCCTCCACCCCACTCTGGTCATCACCTCCTCCCACTTCCGTCCTTCACCCCCAATGTCTCCCTCTCCTTCCGTGAAGGAGCACCCCACTACTTCCTCCCATCTCGACACATTAACCAAATCTTGTTATTGAACGGAACATAAATGGCCGTGAATGTAGAGAAGTGTGAAAATCACAACATTGAAAATTATCCAGACGGACATGACTCACCAGCCAAGGGGGGTCCACGGGGGCTGCCAGGGCTTCGTAACACACTGTGCCGAGCCCCTCGGGGTGCAATGCCCCCAGTATTTTCCAGCTGGAAT